CTGATGAAATAATTCCTAAAAATGCATCTATATATGTATAATAGATGTGAAAAATATTAAAAGTGCATCTTATATATAGATTGTGAAAAAATTTCTCCCCCTACCCAGATATTTCAGGGGGGTCAACTGAAAATGGACTTTAATTTATAACTTTGGAAGTATATGAGGTATAAACCTATTTGTTCACCAGAATTTATGTAATAACATCAGTAATTCAGAAAAAACATTTTTGATAAGCAAATAAGCTAATTTGCATAATTTAACCCTTATACAGTCATAAAAACCGTTAAATGACAAAACGATAAAATACGACATTTATTTTAATCGACCTCTCATGAAGTTATAACTTATGAAATAATTCATATAGTTGCATTTATATATGTATAACAGATGTGCAAAATATTTAAAGTGTATCTTACATAACGACTGTGAAAAAAATTCTCCCCCTATCCATATTTTTGAGGGGAGGGGGTCAAATAAAAATGGACTTTAATTCATAATTTTAAAAGTATATGAGGTACAAACTTAATTTTTTCACCAAAGTTTATGTAATAACATCAGTAATTCAGAAAAAGATATTTTTGATACGCAAATAAGCTAATCTGCATAATTTAACCCTTATACAGTCATAAAAACTGTTAAATGACGATGCGATAAAATACGACATTTACTCTAATTGACCTCTCATGAAGTTTTAACAAATAAAGTAATTCCTAAAAATGCATCTATATATGTATAACAGATGTGCAAAATATTAAAAGTGTATCTTACATAACGACGCTGAAAAAAATTGTCCCCCTACCCAGATATTTATTTATTTATCAAATGGAAATGGACTTTAATTCATAACTTTGGAAGTATATGAGGTACAAACTTAATTTTTCACCAATATTTATGTTATATCATCAGTAATTCAGAAAAAATATTTTTTGATATGCAAATTAGCTTATTTAACCCTTATAAAGTAATAAAAACCGTTAAATGACGAAGTGATAAAATATGGCATTTACTTTAATTGACTTCTTATGAAGTTATAACTTCGAGAAAAAATTTACAACAGATATGCAAAATATAAAGAGGTTATTTTATATAATGAGTGTGAAAAGAATCTTACACCCTACCTTAATAATTTTGAGGGCTCGGGGGGGGGGGGGGGGGTTAAAGAAAATAATAGACTTTAAAGCATAACTTTGAAATAATTTAAGAAAGAGCTTATATTTCTTTGCTGAAAATTGAGAAATCACATCAATAATGAAACGAATATTACATGGGGACAATACTATATTTCAACTAATTTGCATAATTTAAGCTTCAAACAGTCATGAGAATCATTATAAGGCAAAGTGGTTCTATAGTTTTTCCCAACTATTTCAATGCCCATGGAGATTTTCATAGATATAATACTAGAGGCAAATCAAACTTCACCCTTCCTAAAGCAAAACTGAAAATTATGGCAAAGAACAATAGCCTTTAGTGGTTACTCCATATGGAACAATCTCCCAGAAGAAATAAAAAAGTCAAATTCAATTTCTTTTCTTAAATCAAAACTGAAGAAGCATATTCTCTTAGCTTATTAATCATTAGTTGACTATATCATTTCTTGTTTCTTCAGTAAGAAGGGTAGGCTCTCAAGGGAGGTACATGGGCCAACCTGGGGGCTGCTCCAAACTACTTAAGATCTAAAATAATAATTCTGACCATACCAACCTTGGGGAAGGTAAAATAATAACTAATATTTTATAAGAATCACACTTTTAACGATTATTTGCATCAGTGCGGTAGCCTGGTATCTTATAAATAATAATTAATGAAGCTACACATTCATAAAATTTCCCTATGGCATATGGCACCTTCTTGGCTTCAAATGAAACGAGCATCATGGATCCCCCATACCTTTATTTATTATAATCTAACTTTTGTGATTACATTCCGGTTTGATTCGTTGACAACATAATGATATACTTCATGATTTAACTACTATATGTACGGGTATTTGAGTATCACCTGTGGTGCCACCTATTATTAATAATATGTGTACACATAATGATTAAATGATGAATAAATTGAGTTTAATTGAACTTGCAATGTTTCAGAATAACCCTTAAAAGGTAACCATAACAATTCTAAAGTTTATTGAACCATATTCAGAGTCACTGTGGGGACTGGTGTCATATTCTAGGTTGTAGGTACCTGATGCAGTGAAAATGTCATCATATATGTTTGGTTAAATCTACTTATTCCCGTCCACACTCACTTTCCTTTGAGCCGCATGAACATGAAGCAAAACATTCTGTACCTGCAGTGGCACATGAGCAAGTGGTTTAACATATTGCTTTGTCCTTGTATCGTTTGCATGTGCAAAATGACTTTGGGATTTTTGTTATATCAAGTTTCGGTTTTTTGGTCATTTTAATGGTCTCAAGAGTAATATGAACCACTTGACATCCAAATCCATTCCCTGGCTCTGGAATCTCAAAAATTGGTTTGTCAGCATTCATTGAAATGTATAATTGTTATAAACCAAAAATGCATCCATAGTTAATGGTAATGCTCTAATATCATTTTGGATGCTGCAAACAAGTGTAATACATCCAATGATAGTTTGAATGAAATATAAACAAAAATAACGCAACTCCCCTAGACCAGAGATCGTGCCCATGTGGACAGTCAATGGAGACAGAAACTCACTTTAAAGTAGAATGTCATATGTTTGAAAATGAACAATTAAGTCTGTTTGCCTAAATGACTGATATCCATAGTGACTTTTACATGTATACAAGTCTTGGAAAATATTGTATAATAATGAATGAAAAAAACTGTTCAAATGACACTTGGAAAATGTATGATAAATATGTGAGTCAAAAGGCGTGAAATAGTTACATGCGATGGTCTCTAATAGGTCGGCATCAACCAGGAATTGTTTTAATTCATGTATGTATCTTAATGTAACATCTTTAGTGTGTTAGACTTTAATTAATAAATTTACTATTACTACTAGTATAATATTGTTTCCATGTAATATTTGTTTCATTCTTGATGTGATTTCTCAATATTCTGGCGAAGAAATATATGTATAAGCTCTTTCTTATACGATTTCAAAGTTATGAATCAAAGTTTGTTTTTTTTCTTTTAACTTCCCCCAACCCTAAAATATTAGGGTAGGGTGTGAGATTTTTTCACACTCATTATATACAATACCCTTTTTATATTGTGCATACCCGTTGTAAATGTATTTCTAGGAATTATTTCACAAGTTATAACTTCATAGAAGTCAATTAAAGTAAATTTCGTATTTCATCACTTTGTCATTTTATGAATTAAAGTCCATTTCCATTTGATAAATAAATAAATATCTGGGTAGGGGGACAATTTTTTTTCAGCGTCGTTATGTAAGATACACTTTTAATATTTTGCACATCTGTTATACATATATAGATGCATTTTTAGGAATTACTTTATTTGTTAAAACTTCATGAGAGGTCAATTAGAGTAAATGTCGTATTTTATCGCATCGTCATTTAACAGTTTTTATGACTGTATAAGGGTTAAATTATGCAGATTAGCTTATTTGCGTATCAAAAATATTTTTTCTGAATTACTGATGTTATTACATAAACTTTGGTGAAAAAATTAAGTTTGTACCTCATATACTTTTAAAATTATGAATTAAAGTCCATTTTTATTTGACCCCCTCCCCTCAAAAATCTGGATAGGGGGAGAATTTTTTTCACAGTCTTTATGTAAGATACACTTCTAATATTTTGCACATTTATTATACATATATAGATGCATATTTAGGAATTATTTCATAAGTTATAACTTCATATGAAGGTAATTACAGTAAATGTGATATAACATCATTTCGTCATTTACTAGTTTTTATGGCAGTTTAAGGGTTAAATTATGCAAATTAGCTTTTTTTCATTCAAAATATTTTTTCTTCATTGCTGATGTTATTTCATAAATTTTGGTGAAAAAATTAAGTTTGTATCTCATATACTTCCAAAGTTATGAATTAAAGTCTATTTTCTTCTGACCCCCCTAAAATTATAGGGCGGGGGGTATAAAGATGAAGATATCTTATTTTCGCAAGTCTCAAACTCTAGATATCACCCCACATCATAAAAGTAACTTATTTTCCAACAAGAACTGAAAAAATCTCGCGTAATACTTTCCAATATCCATTTTCACTTTCTAGCTGTTTCTCAGAACTTGGGTCCCTGAGTAATTGGTAATCCAGCGTAGTTGTACATTTAGAATAGATTCTTTTGACCAATCAAATCGAGCCTTTCTGTATCGCGTTTCCACCTACTGTATGTGGCATATTCTGCAGGTGAGTATGCCATATTCCGAAGTGAGTATCGGATATTCACTGAAATGAATGTATCGCCATTCACTGCGGAATATGCCATACTCACCTGCGGAATATGCCATATGCCGCAGCTGAGTGTTGCATATTCACTCGTATCACAAATACCGCACAACCATGAATACTAGTATATGCCATATTCCGCCTAACAGATTGTGTGTCTTTAATATTTTTCAAAGACAATACTTTTATTAGCAATATTTCTGAGATGGACAGTGTCTCATAAGCCATTGTTGGCTTGGAGCTTTTGAATAAATTGTACAATTCTGTAAAACAATAACTGAGCCCGTGACACTTTAATAATAAACGAAACTAAAACCATTGACTTTCAAGTCTTTTGAAAGCCCATGCTAAAACCAAAGGAATATCTACAATCTAAGTGCCCTATTGAATATGCAGTTAATGAAAATCGAATCGAATCGAATACGAATTTGTGGCCGCCATTTGTGACAACGGTATCTGTATCTGACTTTATCGTTGTCAGGGTGTTCCGGTGTGAACATGCTCACGCCATTCATTCACTCTGGTGCGTTACATTTGAAACATAACGCACCGGGTCGATCCCCGGTGAGTCTTGGTTTCTCGCCGTGGTATATAAGTGCAATCAATCAAACATCTTTTAGAAACCATATGCAATACTATCGACTTCAATATAAACCAATAAAATGACGGGATTTGTCAAAGTTGGGTTTGTGGTGTTATTACTTCTAATGCTATGTCAATTTATCCTTTTAAACCGCTACAAGATATTTAACAAGAATAAACTGGCGAAAGTGCCGGAATCGAGGGAATATTTCAACTTGCAAGACAACATGAATCAAATCCAACAGAGGAGAAAACATATGCGAGCACACTGCTCTAGGCACACCAGATCTTATCCGAATAAAGCTCGTCATCAGGAGAAGGTATACAAGAGGTTGTTGGTTAACGAACAGTATAAATTTCTCCTCTGTCCAGTAGCAAAGATTGGCAGTACATTTTTGAAAGCAGTTTTTAAAACACTAAACACAACGGAAAGGAACCCGATAAGAACGCTTGAAAATTCGCCAATAATACGCAAAGAACGATTTCCAATTTTGACGGATTTTAACAAAACCGAACAAGATAGAATACTGAGAACATATACCAAAGTTATATTTGTCAGGAATCCATTCAGGAGACTTTTCTCTGGTTACCAAAACAAATTTGTAACCATAAATTATCCTTTTTGGTCAAGAGGAATGCGTGCAGGAATAATAAAGACGTTTCGTCCAAACCCTAGTAATAAATCGCTGACCTGTGGCCATGATACAAAATTTGAAGAATTTCTTAGTTACGTAATTGCGCTTTCTGAAAAGGGTGGAGTCGAAAACATGGATATACATTGGCAACCGATTGATATCGAATGTGATCCATGTATGATCGATTATAACATTATAGGGAAAATGGAAACATTTCATAGTGACATGCAGTACTTTTTGAGTACCATTGGTGCAGAAGATAGGATAGAGCTTCCAAGGCCCGGATCCTCTAGCTTGGAACATCTCAGATCTCGACTGAAAGGTGAAATTAAGTGGGCCTTTAATCAGTTGTCTAAGCTGAAGGACTGCATATCTGAAAATGAATACAGTATGCGGATTGTTCAAAACTTTGTGAGTCATGGCTATATTGAACCTTTAGATGCCACCGACCTCGACGATTTATCAAAAATTCGCTATGGACCAAACACAGCAGAAAAACTGACAAAATGGATCTTTAATTATGTGGATAAAAGCAACAAGACATATTTATTGAACCTTCCGGAAGAAACACAAAAAGCTGCATATGCTAGACTACCAAGGGACTTATTATTAAGAGCAAAAATGGCCTACCTGAACGATCTGGCATTGTTCAGTTATGATTCACCCTAGCACTACTAGCTCTCATTGAAATAAACAAATCGTATTAATTTGCATTTTTATCCTACATGGAATCTCAATGTACCCATTTTGATGAAATCATTGTATATTTGTGCTTCATTTTTATGCGAGGCCAGATCAAAAAGTTTCTTACCAAATCCTATTTTTAATTCTAGAGAAAACAACCTGATTTTTCATGAAATATGCTTATAGCATTTAGCTTTAGCATGCATATATCATTTGGAGTATTTAATGTTATACTGTTCATTGAGAGGTTACCATAGCAACCAAACTTAGGAAGGATGGAGAAGCAGTTATAACTAAGCCTAATTAACTGGGCCTAACTTTATCTAATACGGTCACATACATACTTGTACGTATATTTTGAATGTCCAATGTGTTCAACTGAAATGGTGATACGATAATACAATGCTGTTTATGTGAAACAAACAACACCCCATGCAGACAGATCGCCTAAAATTACATTCGTATAATCATGGGCTCTACCACTCTTGAGCCTACTTTGCATGGGTTCACAAACTTTTTTTACATGCCTTGGGGTCCCCTACATGAATCTAAAGTCAAATTGAATCTAGGTGTTTTGGACACAAATGGCCTTGGCCGTAGTACTATAACGGCTAACTCGGGTTTTGAGGGCGCAGCTTATGCCAACGAGTGCTTGTGTCTCCGTGGACTGAGATTTGCGGACAATGAATCAATAATTGAAGTTTTCAATAGCAGCCTCTACAAAATATCTGATTTTAATGAATATCTCCTTTATTTCCCCGGATGTATTCAAAGATCGTGTCACTAGTTGCAGGAAGTGTATCTCCTTCGGAGGAAATTATTTTGAATAAAACGTCAACAATTAATAAATGATTTATGTCATATTACTAGCAATGCATTCTGTGAAAATGTCAAGTCAAAATCTCAAGAAACAAAAAATGAGAGCATTTGATAAGAAACTTTCTGATCAGGCCTCGTATATATAGTACCCCACACACAATTTGTCGTCTACTTTGATGTGTTGTAGAAAAATATCCAATAAGAGTTTTCTCATGAAATTTGGCATACATTAAATTGAAACAATTTGTGACACTCAAATTTTTTTTGTTTGGGGTCATCTGACTTCAACACAATTTGACTTCGGTTTCTAAATTGCTACGCATTTACAGATTTGACCTAAATTAAGCTAAATTTTGAAACAATTTGTAACAAATTGATTACAAAAAAATTTGAATATTCTGGTCAATCCTATCCTATTAAACACCATTATAATCCATTGGTAAAAGAAAAACTGAACCAAGCAGGAGTGACTGTTATACTGTTACAATGTTATGATGTTACCCCTAAAAGTTCACATGTTTAATCCATGTGAATCATTTCCAACAAAAGGTAAGCCGTCGGTGGCCACCTGTGAGGTATTGGGTGAATATTCCTCCCGATCGTAGGCCAACGAAAAATTGAGTTCAACCTCACTGTTAACAATGCATTAATTGAATTAAACAAAATACAACCATTTTCTTGAGATTTTATGAGATGCCAGCTACTGGAAAGGATTTTTTAATCGAGTGAGACAGTAGGAAATGCTGTAGTGGTAGGATGGGATAGAAATCCAAGCAGGGATATGTTTCAGTGCCCTGATAAACCTTTATAGACTTAAAGCCAACAAACCATGATATATGCACCCGTCCATGTATTGAAAGTATTAAAAGGGTCGTCACTCTTAAATAATAATAAAACCACACTTACCATATTCCTGTTTAGGAGTTAAACATCTCCAACACATAGTAACAATATCTTAAGAGAACAGACAAACCAAATATAATGCAATAAGTTTGTAATCAAAATGTAATCAAAATGATTTAAACTCTCTTTAAAACTGCAAAACTGGAAATTTTCGTCAACTTTTGTTAAAACATGAATATTTTAAAATTGCTTGATTTTCGTCAATATTACTTAAATTTCCAAACAAAAAAATTTGAGTGTCACAAAATATTTCAAGTTTAAGTATGCCAAATTTCATAAGCAAACTCTTTTTGGATATTTTTCTACAATACACTAAAGTAGACGACAAAATTGTGTATGGGGTACTAATTAAAGGAGAAATTATTGCCATGTTTCGGTTTTTCTATGGGCAAAACTGAGTACACAGCATCAGTCATGATGCAAAAACTGTCATATTTTTCGAAAACAACAATATCGAGAGTATGATAAACAAGAGTAAACCCAGAGTACTTTCGGTCAAGTCAGAATACTTCAGCAAGAGTCACAAATACTTGGGTAGCCCATAACACTTGGAACTTTCATATTCGTCTCGTCTGTATAGACATGCAATACCCGCAATACATGAAAAGAGTCAAAAGACTGTAAATTGTGAATTGGCTACATAGATGTTTTTATTTGAACAAATATTTTTGAAGAACACCAAAACATTTAATTTCTCTTTGTGACTCATTTTAATGGATATAAAAAACATAGCCTATATATACATCAATAGTCGTTTCATTTGTATTGACATGAAGCATTCACTCAGTAGTAATTCGGATTTGTTAATACGTGGGTCGTGGGAAAGGAATGTACTAGCAGGGGCGTAGGAATGAGTAAATTCAACACTACGCCCAAAAATATGAATCAGTTGTGTCAAATCTTCTTTATCAAAACGCCTATTTTATGCTCGTAAAACGTCATTTTATGGCAATACCTTTCTAATGTGCTTAAAATGTTCTAATGTAAATGTTAATTTTCTCGAACGATAAAGACTACCAATTTCCAAATAACAATTAGAGATTTTTAATCATTTTTGAATAATTGAATTTAGACCACTTTAAATGTTCACAGTTTATCATGTTTATTGTAAATTTAATTATGGGCAGTCATACACCCCCTGGGGTGTCATAGCCTGTATAATGTTGTAATTTTTGTAATGAAAACTGAAATAAATTATTTTGAAATTGAATTGAATTGATACATAGTATTGTCTGATTCCGTGTACCGTGCAATACAGATTAAAGAAAACTAGTATGATCAATCGATTTAAGAAACATATTCGTGGTCAATAATACTATAGCATTTTTCATGTTGATTCACCGTATTGTGCTGCCATCTTTCAATGGGTTTCTTATAGGTTTTGTAGGGTAAGGGATTGCCTTTCATTTCCTATAACTTGGGGGTATTTAAGAGAAATTTTGGGCTTCATTCAGTAGAGAGTTAGATCGGGGGGAACATCACACATCATTTCTTTTCATCTTATTAATCTCATTTTCATTCTTTCTTTATCTTTGAACAGTTTTATTTTATACTGAAGAGTGTAATTGTACATGTTAAGTCTTTTACTTGGAATAAAGTATAGTTTTATGAGTATATTAATTCAGTGTTAATCTTGTCTTTTTTACATTACAAGACCAATCCATATTATTTTATGAAGAACCCACAGAGCTATTTAAACAATAAAGATTCGAAGCTTCATTGGTGGCAGCGGTGGGATTGGTCTTTGTCTTGTAAAGAGATTCTTTTTGCAGTTTTAGTGTCTTTATTTTCATTAAAGAGTGGAGATTAGTTCTCTTCACATCTTTAAATTTGATTAACTTTTACTGAAGAGTGGAGATTAGTTCTCTTCGCATCTTCAAGTTAGCTTTACTCTTACAAAAGAGCGGAGATTAGTTCTCTTCGTTTCTTTCTTTTAAGTTAGGTTCATTATATACTGAAGAGTGAAGATTAGTTCTCTTCAACTCTTTCTTTAGGATTTTGTCTTCATATTCAGTTTACTTTGAATGAAGAGTATTTGTGTTCACTGTACTATTAGATATTAACTTTGTCTTTATGCACAATGTTTGTTTATGCCTGCATTTAAGTTGACAGTCTTCACTTAAAAGACTGATAATGATCTTGCGTTTGTGTACGCTCAGTTAATTTATGCGTAACTTTACCTTGATCTTGTGAACAAAAAGAAGACAAAGAGTCGAGAATATTTTATGTTTACACGTGCTATTGTTAAGGGAATCATCATTTAGTAATGAAGACGGGCTCCCGTTGTAGTTACTTTTAAAATTGAAATACGAAAACGCTTGCATTTCAGCGTTGTACTAATTTCTGTATTTGCTATCAACAAGAAGCTCATGTAACAGGCTCCTGTTTTAGTTACTTCAAAAACACTTTCTTTTACTTTCTTTCTATCCTTTATTTCTACAATTGTGCATGCTAAGACGCATTGCTTTAAAATTGGCAAAATCGAGCGCGTATCTATTTGTTTGGCTGTGGCATAGTGTTAAGATTGTCCCGAATTGGTGTAAGACGAAATTATGAATTGAGAAGTATTTTATTTGAATGTTCGAGATCTAGTTTTTGGACTTTGTATTTTGTAAAAATCCCTGTATTGATGATAAAAGCGTACTTGATTCTGTTTGTGTTTTGATATTACGTATAGATTATAGCTCATTCATTAAATAGAAGTTGATACCTTGTGAATATGGAGGGGAAGGATCAAGGTGAAAATGGGTGTTCTGTCGTGTTAGGTGCCGTCGGGGAAAATGAAGATGAGAAAGACGAAAATAATGAAAACTTTGATTTGATTTGGTCAGATAAAAATGTAAGTCTCCATGACGAGAAAGACACAGATGGCAAAATCACGGTTTCACCTGAAAATCAAAATGAAGAAAAGAAATCGTCGGATGGTTTATTAAGGCGTAGTCTTGCTTCAATATTGAAATGCAAGAAATAGAAGAGCGCCTACAAGATATGGATGGGATTAATTGATTGTTTAGTCAAAGAATGTATATAGTGTGTATAAGCAGAGACCTATAAAACATTTTATATGTCTCTGGTATAAGTAAATATAAAGGGAACATATTTAGTTAGCTAGTTGGTTAGTTAGGTAGTTAGGTAGATAGTCGGTTAGTAGTAAGTTAATTAAATGTGTGCTGCATGAGCATTGTTTATCTCGTGATTATTTAAAAGCGAAAAGGTACATAATACAGAGTTAAGTAAAAGTTAATAACGCATACGCTGCTGCAAACATGAGATATTTTTATATTTTGATAAAGCCTTTATTTCAAACTCTTAATGGAATTGCATAGGTATATTTTAATGGCTAGTGGATGAAAACATGACTTGCAAAAAAATTGTCCAGGGGAGGTAAAGCCTTTCAAGTATGAAAACAGGACCATTTTGTAGTATTGAAGAACATTTTTCTTTATTAATTATGCATAGAAAGAGTCAAACATCCGTATTTGGCAAGAATGCATGTTTGTTTTGTGTTGCTGAATGGATGAATGAGATTTGTCATTTTTGTAAAATGTGGTTGCCCGGGCAATTAGAAATAAGCAATTAGAAGTAACAATAAAGAGTAAAAAATTAGAATTAAAAAATTAGAAGTAAGCAAATAACAAAAAGACTGAAGAGTAACTTGTAAAATGAGATTTCTGAAGGCAATTTATGTTATGATATGAAATTCCATGAAAATGGAGGGGGTAGTTTGAGACTGGTGGTTTGTTATAGAAAATTATGATGGAATTTCATATTCCATTCGTGTAGTAAGGCCTGGCAGTTATATGGTACTTAAATGATGAAAAGTGAAGTCGGCTTCTTGTCATGTGTTCTTGGATATTGCATCTAAGTTGATAAGTTAGCTAGAAGAAGAGTTCAATGTTGTTTTAAATCGAGGTTGTGTGGT